CTCTTCATTACGCAACGAGGTGAGTTTTTTCATTTATAATTCATGTTCTTTTTTATCTTTTTTACTTTTTATTTCATGAGTATTCATTTCTTTCCATCTTTCCTCATGAATTGTAGCTCTGTTTGTAAACTGCATATTAGTTGATACAGATAATATCACATCTTTTCGTGGCAGTGCGATTATTAAGTGAATTCTTATCAGATTGTTCAAATGAATCCCTGTAAACTGCATTAATAATATGTTTTAAAATGAAATATAAATACAGACTTTCTGTCCTTTTTATCTTGAACAGAAATTCATCTCAAGCATCGTCACTGATCGCACTTGGATTGGTTTGAGTGACAGAGACGAGGAGGGCACCTGAAGATGGGTTGATGGAACTCCACTGACGGAAGCGTAAGACACACAACAATGTTCATACAACTATTGCTGCACCTATTATTATTATCATTATTAGTAAAACTCTCATAAATTATTTCCAAAATCAGACTTAACTGAAATTTTTTTTTTGCAAATGTTGCTGCACTACAAGGAGAATTCAACTCATTTATTTGGAAAATATAAATCCACATTTTTTATTGACTGGATTAAATGTTTTTTTTGGTCCCTATGAAAGTTGACCAGCTTAATTACGTCCTAGGTACTGGGAAGTTCCACCTGATAACGGTGGAAGAAATCCATGGTGGGGTGAAGAGGACTGTGCTGAAATTGTAGTTGGCCAGAAAGCAGAAAGAAACTGGAATGATCTGGGGTGTGATCGCTCTCTGCATTGGATCTGTGAAAAACTGCCTTAATATTCGTGCAAAAATTAAGACTTAATAATCTTCTCGTTATTTTTTTATTTTAACTTTAAAACTTATCAACAATATACTGCTTAAGACTTAATACATCACCAGACAGGTTTGGCTAGCTGGATGACGTCATGCTAATAACTTATTTAGCTTCTTAAAGCGGGGACAGATCCAGCACGGACAGTTAGGGAGTGAGAGACATGAAGCACCTGCTGAGAAATGATATATAGTTATAAATAAATAATTATATATATGTGTGTGTGTGTGTGTTTTATATTATAGTGAATATTATTGTATGATTTATATATTATTATATTATACTGAATTACCTGTGAGGGTGACTAAAATAAGATGTCCTGACGTGTTTATCAAAGTGTTATTTACTGCTTGTTTTCATGTTGGAATAAAGAAAAATATTATATAAATATAAAATATAAAATATAAAAATATTTAACTGCAAAGTATTAATGCGTGTTTGATACCTTCATTTTTTCACATTAAATCATTCTGGGATGTTTGCTGAAATTGATTGGATGTGGCACACAGCCCCACCTAGAACATGTTCCACCAGCCGCCACTGCAAGTTCCTATCTTATGGTTTTAGGATGTCCCGGGGAACATTCCACACCCTCGCAACCGTCCTTTCCTCCTCACAGACCGACACCACCAATGCAGAAAGTTTGCTTTACCTTCATGTTGAGCTCATGGCATGTTCAGTCTGTGAGAGAGCAAAGGTCGCCCCGCTCGGGCATGGTCCCCGTGGAGTCCTCCTCCTGGCTGGCTCGCCAAATGTGTTTTTTTTTGGCGTTGATGAGCCGCTTCTTTGACTTTACCTAACGGCTGGCTCAGTAACTGTTATCTATGTGACTCGTGGTGAGACACAACATCCATTCTTCCCAAACCCCCCCCGTACCAATGAACTGGCCTTGCTAAACATAAACACAGAATGTAAATACAGTTTACACATCATGTTGAATCCACACAATCTCTCTCTGTCGTTTCCGTGATGTAGCGTTTAGCGCTGGTTGTGTTGAGGCGATGATGAAACACTGATGAGCGTTTACTGATGTCTGTCAGATAAAGAGTGGTGGAGGAAGTATTCACATCCTTCACTGAAGTAAAAGTACTAATATCACACTTTCTTTGCAAATACTCCGCAACAAGAAAATGTCCTGCATTCAAAACCTTAGTGAAGTAAAAGTATTTAATATCTTTAGTATTATCAGCAAAATGTGCTCATTATTCATTTTGCAGTAAAATGTTCCCTGTCAGTGTTTTACTAATATATATATATATATATATATATATATATATATATATATATATATATATATGACACCTCTTGCTCAGCAGAGTCCATCCCATCCATCTTTGCTCCTGCTTGTGAATCCACTTGTCGCTCAGATAACCTCAAGTAGAAACCCGAGTCAGAAATTTGTCGCCAAACTTCCTGAATATTGTTGTCAACCCTGTCGCCACCACCACTTGTATTTTGAAACGACTGCTCGTGATCCCTGATGGCCCAGAGGAGGGGCTCGCAGATCGCCTTGGCTCTCTCTTTCGCTAGCTCTGCTAGCTCGTCGTGCAAATGGCAACGCACATGCTCTGCCAGAAGGTCGTCATAAACCACTCTGTAGTGAGGAAGGCGCCACTGCTTCCATTGGCACGAGTACTTCTTTCCTCCACGACAGAATTCATAAATAATCCAAACAACAACAACAAAAACGATTAAATAAAAGCCGCATTCCTGGAAAATAGAAAAAAAGGGTCAACTTTAACAAAGATTTTTTAAAACAATTCAAGGAAATAGAATTGTTTTGGTTTCATTTAGCATATTTGATTGCTGAGTGTTGATACTTACAAGTGATTCTGACATATAAGAGGCTTTAACGAGGTTCTCCTCGTCGCTCAGCTCTTTTTTGCAAGGAATTCCCGTCTGAGAAGACTTTCGGTTTGTCATCAGGCAAAAGAACCAATCTCCGTCAATCAAAACAGTGACTATCCATACAGCTGTCAGAATGACATAGCTGATCACCAACTTGCCCAAAAAGCAACAGACGTTGGTTTGACAAAGTCTTTGCCATCTGGAACTAATCCTCCGAGTGCGTAAAGACTCAATGGCGGTGGTAACCCAGGTGAGGATCAGTGGAGGGATCAACATGTACAGAACACCATTTCTATGGATAATTGCAACTGATGTGCACGAGCAATGAAAATCCATGTCAAATATGTACTGCAGGATGTAGATGAGGATTATCAGCAGGAGCGAACTCACAGCGTTAGTTATTAGTTCAAAGAGTCTTTGAGAGAAATTATGATGGGGAGGCATGCTGGCTGGAAAAATAAAAACAGCTGCTCCAGTTGAAGTATCTTCTTATATTCTCCGATGATTTCGTTCAAAGAGGTGATGCTCGCTCTTCCACCGACTGAGTGAAAAGGTGTCAACCAGATGAACAAATGAAAAATCTTCTGCGTCAAATGTCCTTTTTAACATCTGGACGAGGCAGGGATCAAGCACAGCGTGCCACCCTTCAGCACTTTCATAATGATGGTACGGTCCGCTTTCACTTCTCAAATAACTCAGGCGGATTTTTATATAAAAAAAAACAGATTTTGATGACTGAAACTTTTCACGGTTCTATTTTGTATTTGGGGGTCAAAAAGGTTCAAAGAAATCAAGCAGCATGGGTAAAAGTTAACCTGCCACCACCTGCATCAAGTGTGACAAGTACGTCTGTAAAGACCAGATCATGCTGCAGCTCCTGCTGTGAAATATAGAAAAAGAAACACTGTAAAAGTGGCCCTTTGATAGATATTGGATGATGAAGTGCATTCTGGGTTGCCCTTCCAGTGGAGAAAACATGAAAAAGTGCCCTAAAGGTGCCCTTTAAAGTGGCCTTACAATGTATAAGACGAGATGCAATGCCATCAAGGCTGCCCTGTTTGAAAAGAAAGAAAGGAAACGTTCTGTGGCTGGTGCCCTTTTTATTCTCAGACAGCCACAGTCCACCACTGATCGTATTTCCAGCTCTTGAAACAAAATACTCTTTAGCCAACAATATCTATGTACGCATTTGCAGTTTTGTATACATCACATTTATCACCTGTTATCTTGTGTGTACCTGAGATCAGTAATTCAGCTTAAAAAAGGATTTAAAAAAGACTATTTATGTAAAGAAATCTTTAAATGATCGATTAGTCAACTAATCGACTTAAAGGGGACAGACGTAATGTCATCACTTCATATTAGCTTGAGTTATGGCAAAAATATGCCACCAAATTCTCAGTTCATCCTCGAGTCCAAATAGACGTTTGTCAGAAAGTGATTGATTTGAAGACTTGAGCGTTGCTAAATGTCACAGTCTACTCCTGTAAAGGCAGCGGCTTTACGGGAAATGAACTTTGTGTCTGTTTCAGGTTCATGAAATTAATGTGCTTTTGCACATATTACATCAGAGATGCACACTTGATGGTTGGGAACATTTTTCAGTGGTAATTGAGGGTTTCTGTCCCTTCTTCACAACGCTTTCTCAGGCTGATGGCGCTTGTTTCATTTCTCTTTTCTTTTCCAACATTACACATTAAAACGTACTCCACCCTGGGTAAATTGTTGGAGGCAACTCACAGTACTTGTCGTTCTTTTAATATTATGTATACACTGACTATCTTCACAAAATGGTAGCTAATACTACAGTATATAATAACCTATAACCTTTTTACAGTATATAAAAATTTAAAAAAACGTCACTCTGGGAACAAGCTGCTGAATTGGAGTCAATTAATCTTGTTAATTAGTAGCGTTCACCTTTATTTTGATAAGATAAATGACGACACGAGTATGAAGCACACGCCTTAAAGGTAATATTTACTCATGGTGTGGTGTTTAAAGTGCTGTGAGGGAGGCCAAACAGCACGCAGTCCTTCTGTGGGAGCAGAAGAAGGTAGAGCGTGAGAGTTCGGATGATCTCTGGAGGAATGGTGTGACTGGACCTTTCACCTCAGCCTGGATCGAATCGTCTGTTCTTCTCCAGAGGATTCCGTCAGCAGACATGGCGACCATCGGGCAGATCGTCTTCTGCAGGTGAGGCCACGAGGTTTGAATGTTTGTCTACTGATGGCGGTTCAATGCTGAAAACGTTGAGGTCTCAGCAGTGGTGGGAAGTAACTAAGTACTGTCAGTACTGTGGAAAAGTGGTATTTTTAGATACTTTTCTTGAATATTATGCTACTTTATACTTAGGACAATGTTGTACTTTTTACTCCACTTTCTTTTGAAGAGCTATAGATACTGGTTTCTTTTCAGATTATAAAAATACAATGTATAGTTAATTATTAAACCAGCGATGTCTCGTAGGAGCCCCTTGTCTTATTGTCTATTTGTTGGCTGTTTCAACAAAGTGACATTTGACTTATAAATCAGTTTAATTTAAACGACAGTTCAAGGCCCAAAGAGGTGAAATTATCCAATATTTCACAAAAAAAAGGCAAAAATGTCAAACATATTTAATTGTCCGCTCCCGTTAATGGTTTCGTGACCCCACTGATTTGTTATGTGATCCCTTGCAGGGGTGCCATCCCTCAGGTTGGGAACCACAGGACTACTCTACCAAACTTTATATGACAATCTAATAATAATGTAATAACATATTCAGTCATCGGTGGTTTTTCTGCAGAACGCTTGGTGCTTTAAGTAAGTTTTGCTCATAATACGTCCGTACTTTTACTTAAGTAAAGTGTTTAATGCAAAACCTATACCTCTAAAAGAGTACTTTTATTGTTGTATTGATACTTAAGTAAATTATGTGCAAACACACTTCTTTCACCAGTGGATGTCTGCAGATGTCCACAGCAGTCAAAGCTTCTTGTTTTGGTTGCTGTGAAGTTGATCTGCAAGTTGATTTTAGCCGCTCGTCTGTTCCCTGACACTTTCCCGTGTTTGTTTGTCTCTTTGCGTGCAGCATGATAATCCTCATCGTCATATTCGGGACGGCCATCATCCTCCTCTTAGCCTTGGCCTTGTCAGGTAAGAACATTCGGATTCCTCGTGAGATCCTGTCAGCGTTCGTGATGCCAGGTTCTGTCGGGCCTGAGGGGACACATGGTGTGTGTTCAGCTCACGCAGTTAATTCTCGTGGTTGTGTGTGTGTGTGTGTGTGTGTGTAGCTTTATGTGTGATGTGTGTCTATGTGTATTAGAATGTACTGTTGAATTTCCTTCTAAGATAATTCAATTTGTGCGGAGGCATCCATTGAAAGATGAAAAGAAACCTGCACACGTCTTGTTCCTGTTTATTTAATGGTTTGACCACAGATGTGGTTGAGTTCAGGCTTCCGAGGAGGGTGAGGTTACTAATCATGTAATCAATTATCAGGCTATCAATCATATCTACTAATAAGGGGAATGAAGAAGCCGTGTTTTCTTAAAGGATATAAAATGCACGGCCCGCCACTGAGAAAGAGCCATTTATATCTACATAGGGAGTGGGTCCTCTTCACGGCGTCCGCCATGTTTCTAGGTTCAGCAAAAGATGGTCAAATATTTAGTTAGGTTTAGGTAACAAAACGTATTAGTTAGGTTTCGGAAAGGATCGCTGTTTTGGTTAAAATAACTACAAAAGTGCTTAAGTTCATTAAGTATGCAAGGAGGGCAGAGGGAATGACTGATACTGACTGATGTTTCTTTATTCTTCATAAACGTCCCTCAGGAATATTATTCATTTCATTGACATTTTACATTTGTTTCCAATGAGATATTAATGATTTAACTTAGTGTCTTTGGTATTGTAAACATTACTGCTGCTCTAGAAAAATATATTTAGTTATATCTAAAATATTGATTAATTATGATCCTGTTTTAAATTGTACTTTTTGAAAGCAATTATTTAGTTATGAAGAAGAACAGAGTAGCTGCTAATAGTAATAAAATCCTAAACATACCCGTCTGTACCTGAATGCCACCCTAGTTTGCTTTGAAAGGCAGGGGTGAGTGGAGGGGTATTTCGTTTAGTTGCAAGCTGCCACCTCACCACTAGATGGCACTAAATATCACGCACTGCTCCTTTAAAATAAATCTTACATTTTCAATAAGAAGTGAGACTCTGTCAAAGCTGATAATATATTCTCCAACATGAGTTTGTGATTGGGTCCTGGTCCCACAGGACAATTGTCCGAGGTGATGAGCAACAACATGGCGCCCACTGCCAACCTCGGCAACGACGAGCTTCTCAGCTGCTATCTGAACGCACAGACTCAACCGGCCAGAGTCACAGAAGTGTCGGTCACCTGGCAGAGGACGGGGCTGACGGGGCCCGTTTACCGGTATCAGAACGGAGCGCCGTCTCTCGGCGACCAGGACCCGCAGTTCAAAGGGAGAACCCAGCTCTTCCCCGGCGATTTGGTGGCGGGTAACGCCTCTCTGCTGCTGAGGAGCGTGGGACGGAGCGACGGGGGGGAGTACACCTGCACCATCAGCTCCTCTGGTGGTGGTGGGAAGGTCAAGATTCACCTCAAAACTGCAGGTAGGATGACTCACCTTTCCAGTTTCACTGTGTGTTTGCTTTGACAGTGAATCTCTCAGAGAAAATGTGCAGTATGTAAACATGTGATATGTAAGCAGATATAAGGACACAGTAAGTATGACTTCTCCTATGAAGACATGTTACTCATTAATAAACACTTAGAATGTCCTTAGATCTGTGTACAACTGCATTTTAGTGTGTTTTTAAATGTTTATGTACTGCTTATTAATGCTAAATAGGGGGTTAAAGAAAACATTATAGTCAACTAAGTTCTTCCCTCTCTATTCTCTGTAACTGTATTGTTATACCCTTAATTACACTTTATTTATTTTCTTTTTTTCTGGATGTTTTATGACCATTTGAAAAGTCAGATTCATGCTTTTATTCTCTCAGCCTTTTCGGCCCCCACATTTAAATTCACCAGCAGCGCCCTGACTGCTGAGGCTCCCCGGTGGTTCCCCAAACCAAACGTGACATGGTCGGACTTTGACGGGAACGTCCTGAATGGAAGCACGAGCTTCGCTGAGAACTCTGTGGGCATATTCAGGGTTGTCAGCTCGCTGCAGCCAGTCAACATCAGCGAAACATACAGCTGCAGGACTGAAAATGATCTGGTGACGGCCGTCTCTAAAGCAACCGTAACAGGTAATCTTCTGCAATATGAATGTTTTTACAAGGATATCTGAATGTCAGAATCTCTTAAGTTGATGTGTCATGAATTAGCGTGTTGATTGTTGGTTAAATGAGGCCACAACGAGAAGTGTCTTAAAGCTGCATTCTCTCTAGTGTCCACCAGGGGGCGACTCCTCTGGTTGTATAGAAGTCTATGAGAAAATGACTCTACTTCTCTCTTGATTTATTACCTCAGTAAACATTGTAAACATGAGTTTATGGTCTCAATCTCTAGTTTCAAGTCTTCTTCAATACAGCATGATGTTCATTTAGTAACTTATGGTCCATTTAGAGTCACACAGACCATAAAGCAGGGGATGCTTTAGGGCGGGCTTTAATTTTGATTAGAAGGTCAACTCAAAATAAAAAGAATGACAAAAGCTTAAATGAGATCAAATTAAATACATATAAAAATACAATAATTTGAATCTCCTCTCTTATTTTGCAGATCCTGTTACAGAGAACACATACTTCACCTTCAGTGCTGCATCCTCCCTGATGACATCAACACACCTGAGCATTACGACCAGTGTCCTCTGCATCTATTACCTCACCTAACTACACGCACACACACACACACACACACACGCACACACACACACACACACAGAATGCTTAATTTATTACAGAGGGCGTTGTTACAGTGTAACAGAAGTTTTAACAGAATCAACATTTGTTTTTTACTTTCTCAGGTGTATGTGCTAAGTTTGAAGTTAAAGCGCCATCTAGATTTAGTTTTTAATATAATTCATATGTATACTGTCTGTACTACATAAAATAGGATGTGGAGAAACTGCAGAAAAATAATATAATACAAAATTGAAACAATATATTAAATTTCAGCGTATACAATGATCTTGTGATATATCCTATAATGTTTTTGTATTACTGAGTTAATTAATAAATGCATTGTTCTGAAGTGGGTGGATTTGTTTCAAAGTTTGTGATGTCAAAGGACAAAACGCAGCTTTAAAAAACATATACACAACAATTAATATATTCATATATAAATAATACTCATGAGAAATAAGGTGCAGGTGTGCATGTTTTTCTTTTTCAAAAAATTATAGGACAAAGTATAAATATCTATAAATATCAGATTTATCAGAATATCAGTTTTATTTCTTGCAAACAAAAAGACAATGAACTATAGAATCTGTCCATCCATCATGTTGAAAACATGTTGCTCTGTCCAGCCAGTAGATGGGGACACTCAGAGTCCCAGACTGGTACTGACGAGTCCTGGAAAGTCTTTGGACCACCCCCTGATAAGTCCAGAGAGGCTTCCTATTGGTCTAGTAGTGAGTGAGGTGTCAAATGTCCCAGGGAACCGTGACCGCAGTCAACTTCTCCCGAGGAAAAGTGGGACTTTCCGGTGGGATTTGAGGCGCTACGGTGTAATTAAAGAGTGTTTGTAGTCACAGTGTAGAAAGCTGCTGGTGTAGTTCCATGTGTTGTGCAGATGGAAGTTTTCTTTCGGTCCTGACGGGTTGGTGGGTCTCACGGTGGGTCTCACCGGTGTGTTTGTGGCACCAGAAGTCTCCAAAAACAGACGATGTCTCAGTCTGAACGGAGAGAAAACGCGGAGGAGTCGAAGTTAAGCTCGGAGCCGCAAAACGGAGTCCTGGTGAACCCGAGAGCGGTGTGTAACGGGTGTAAACGCTTGTACCGGGACCCTAAGATCCTCCCCTGTCTGCACACCTTCTGCTCCGACTGCATCGGCCAGCTGGAGCCGTTCTCGTTGTCCTCGCGCAACTGTCCGGAAAACGGCAAGAGCGAGGCGGCGCAGGGGGACCGACCCGCCGTCACCGTCACGGTGCTCTGCCCCGACTGCGACTCCGAGGTGGACATCCCTCCCTCGGGACCGGGAGGGCTGAGCACCGACCACCTGGCGCTGGACGAGGTGTTCCTGGAGACCCTGGCGACGGACGGTCCGCTGGGATGCGACCTGTGCGGCGAAGTAGGCGCCGAGAGCCGCTGCGACGTGTGCTGCGTCAACCTGTGCGCGTTCTGCTGCCAGGCACACAGGTAGAGTCTCTTCTATTCTATTCTATTCTATTCATTTCAGCTTCCAGGCACACAGGTAGAGTCTCTTCTATTCTATTCTATTCATTTCAGCTTCCAGGCACACAGGTAGAGTCTCTTCTATTCTATTCTATTCTATTCTATTCATTTCAGCTTCCAGGTGCACAGGTAGAGTCTCTTCTATTCTATTCTATTCTGTTCTATTCTATTCAGCTGCCAGGCGCACAGGTAGAGTCGGTTCTATTATATTCTATTCTATTCCCAAATTAAATTAATACCGTGTCATTTGAGGAAGAAAAGCTTAAAATCCTCACATTTTGAAGCTGTAATCAGCCAATATCAGGTTCTAATGTGTTTTATTTTGCGCTGTCGCACTAACAGACTAAAGGGTTAAACTCTTATTTTACTCCTTTCTATTCTACTCTGCTATCTTCTGTCCAGCTCGGAGGTAAGTCCTGTTCTATATTATCTGATTCTTTATTTTTACATTGTATTCTCTTCTCTTTTCTTGCAGTAAGCGTCTGATCTCCATCTTTATTTTTTACCAGATGCGATGTTGAACTGGACCTTTATATTCTGTTCTCTCCTCAGGCGGCAGAAGCGAACAGCGTCTCACTCCGTCCAGCGTCTGGAGGAGCTGAAGTCTCGCGGTCGTCTGTGCCGCCCGGTCCTCTGCTCGCTGCACCCCGGCCAGGAGCTCCGGCTCTTCTGTCAGCCCTGCGACCTGCCCGTCTGCCTGGAGTGTGCCGCCACGCTGCACCGCGACCACGGCTGCTGCCCCACCCGGGACGTGGTCGATCGACATGGAGAACGCATCCGAGAGGTGGTCACGGTGCACCTGAGACCTCGCATGGAGCGCCTGAAGGTCTCACTGCAGAAGGTGCAACAGAGTCTGTTTAGACTTAAAGCAAAGTTTGTTTTTAGGTGTGTTTGCGCGACTCATTTTAGTTCCACTTAATGTAGTTTTATGGTTATAGCGTTAATCACAACTTCAGGGTTCATAACAGCCGTGGATGGATCACTGAACAGGTCTACCGGGAACAGGTCCAGGAGACCAAAGTGTTAGTGGTTCTTCTGGCTTTCACATACAAAATATCACTGAAAGAGACACGAACCAACAGGAAGAGACAACAAAGAGACACAAATACCCTCAGAAACACAAATGACTACAAAGAGACACAAAACAACCTTAAAGAGACACAAAACGACTTCAAAGAGACATAATTACTATAAAATGACTACAAAGACACAAAATGATTACAAAGAAACAAAAATACTACAGAGAGACATACCAACCAGCAAGAGACAACAAAGAGACACAAAATGACCACAAAGAGACAGAAAATCAATACAAAGACACAAAATGACTAACAATACCTCAAAGAGACACAAAAAGACACAACATGACTACAGAGACAAAAAACAACAGAAAGAGGCTAAACAACTATAAAGTCTGTCTTTCTCCAATGTAGGAGAGGTGGTGAGACCTTTTCACGTCATTGTCTCATAATCCGTCTTAACACTATGTCCTCATTAGACCACATGGATTTTAAAACCTGTCATTCAACATGACGTAATAACCCACAAACCACCTCCTCCTCTAAGTTTTGAAGACACAAAGTCAAAACCTGTCGTAACAATAATGTTTTTTTCCCCACTCGATTTAAAAAAAAATGTGTCAACTATTTTTAAACAAATCCTTTTGTTTCCACTATTGCAGGTGGAAGTCTCCCAGGAGGCCTTGCAGGCCCGCGTGGACGCCACAGCGAATGAGGTGAGGGCGTTTGCGCGAGCGTACGCCAGCGCTGTGGAGAACCACTGCCTGTCTCTGCTGCACCGCCTGGAGGAGCTCCGTGTCCAACGCAGGTATGGCACCACCAACATACCATATTCATGAGGGAAGTTAATGTGGTGTACGATTATCTTAAAGCAAGTACGGAGCAGTGTGACGCATCTCAAGGAATCTTCCTGTAAGTTAAAAATAATACCTCAAAGTGGGACCACTGTTCCTAACCTTCGACAGGAAAGAAAGGAAGGATGGAGAATCACAAAAGAACCACAAAAGTTCAGCATATTGCAATTTTTTGCCCATTTGTTGCTCAAATTCAGAATATTGTCATTTTCTGAATAATCGAGGAATATGAGCACGTTTATGTAGTCATCGAGTGTTTTGAGAGGTAGATATAAACAGGCCTCAGTGCTTCACAGTGCAGAGAAATCTCTCCTCCAGTTCTCGGGAGATGCTGCTCATAATTTTATTATTTTAATATTTTATTATTTTGTTATTACTTTGTCCGACAGGAACCAGCTCCACCTGCAGAAGGCTCAGCTGCAGCAGGCTCTGCTGGACGTCGGCGGCGGCGTGGAGTTTGCCGAGAGGCTGCTGAGCTGCGGCTCGGACGCGGAGATCCTCAGCGCCAAAGGAGTGACCCTGAGGAGACTGACCGGCCTGGCGGACACCGGCTACGACCCCCACCCGGCAAACGTGGCCCCCGATGATGGCGGCGGCATCAGCTTCATGGCCAGGGAGCCTGCGGGGGAGGTGGAGGGCTACCCGCTGGTCGGGGCCATCAACTCCAAGACGGTGGACCTCAGCAAGTGCACCGTGGAAGGAGGAGGTAGACCGGCCCTCATGCAAATATGTTCTGTTTTAAGAGAGCAGCTTCTTCTAATGTTCGTACATGACTAAAAGTGTTTTCTTTAATCATGTATTTCAGAGATTTTTGTTAAGCTATTTTATCTTAATTAGGTTAATTATAGTAATTATAATCCTTTTCAATTCTCTTCAATTTAAAAAAAGGTTATTTATTTATTTTACTGTCAACGAAAAATACCAAATTCAACAATTATTTTTCTTTACTTCTGTCTATGTAGCCTGTTATTGCTCATTGTTAATTTCTAATGAGCCACTGACATACTTTTGAGTTTGAAACTACATTTATAAAACAACAACAACATGGAGGCTCAACAAACTTTATTACTCCTTTCAACCCAGACAGAGGCAGAGCAGACCAGACCCCTCCTTCTGTTCTTACCTTTCACAATAAAAGCCCTGTCCATATGACATTCAGAGTATATTCGTCGAGCTCCTTTTATCCTTATAATTGCCGATCCGGTCACTTTTCCTCAACATTACAGTATTGACGTTTTCAATAAGTGTATCATCAATTGAGTTATGTTTTGGTTTTAAAAGCTGTGGGTGTATTATTCATCCAGAGCACCTATTATTTTAGATATTTATTTTCTATTTAGGCAGAGGAGAGGGGGGGGGAGGGAGGGAGGAGGTCTCTGGAGCAGTTAAAGACTGTTGTTAACCTTCCTGGGTGCTTCGGCTCAAAGACTGAAAGAATTCCTGTGGGGCTGAAGGAATGCGCAGGCGACTCAACAGGCCTGAAGGCAGCGAGGAGACGTTTACTCTCAAACAAGGAAACACCTCCAGGTGACCATGACGGAGGCTGCGGGACATCTTCAGGAGGCAGGAGTGACTTTGTTTAAAGATAAAAGATGTAGTTCAACCTCCAGAGTTTCAGAATGACAGAAAAGCACACACAACCTTAAGTTTAGACACAATGTCCGTCAGATGATGATGCTCCTGCTACGTACAGTGCTTTATTATTATTAATATAATAACTATTATAATGAAGCAGCTTTAAGTTCACCAACGCTCATCAGCCATGTCCTCTTCAGGCAGCGTGGCCTCTTTCATTTAAGTGTGTGTGTGTGTGTGTGGGGGGGGGGGGGGGGCAGAGAAAGGCCAGATTTGTGTGTCGACTATTAGAAAGCAGAAATCTATCAGGCTTACTGGCGATCATCCGCCTCCTCTCTGTGTGATGGGAGGGTTTGAAGAGGTGGATTTAAACCAGCCGTGTCTGTAACACTGACAGCTGCTGGGAGCTTAGCAAACACACGTTAATTCACTGATAATTCACACGCATTAGCAGCAGCAGTGACGGTGTGTTTTTAACACAATAATGAGATCGCTATAAATCCTCTCATCTTAATCTCAGGAAGGAAAACACATCTGCACACGTGACACAATAGCAGCAGCGGTGATGTTAGCAGCAGAAGCTACAGCAGCAATAGCTTCAGTAACAGCATGAGTAATATTTATATTCATGCAATTACTGTTGTTGTAATACACGGAGTAGAAACATAATTAGCAGAAGTAGTTTAATCAGAAACAGCATCCAATCAGATCCTTCTGCAGCTACTGAGAAACGCTGAGTAACACCAGATGAAGACACAGAGCAGCATCGTTAGTTATCCAGCGGCTAATAGAGTCTGATGAATATCCTCAGCGATCGTGAACAAGTTAACAAAACACTAAGTAATGATGGGAAAAGCTCTGGTCAGCAGCACCAGCTGTGCCCGGAGTCACACTGGACTCCGGCTGCAGCCCCCGTGTGTTTAGGGGGGAAAGTGGCCGACGTCAGCACTCGGTAGGGGGTCGTTTTGAGGGGTGAGATGGTGTGTGTGACAAGACAAATGACGTCTCCAGTTTGTGGCGTGTCTGAGTGATCCGGTGTCTCTTTAAATGGGATATGTGCATGTGTGGGATCTCACGTAAAACCTGGAGAGACAAGTCCTTCTGGTCCTGACTGTCTTTCTGTCTTGTGTTTGAGTGTTTGCAAAGTGTGTGCATTTCTACTCGTGTAAAAAGAGATTTTTTGTTTGTGTGTCTTTGTCGTAGACTGTATATAAGAAGTCACCATGACGTCACCCATTGGTTTGTGGACCTCGGTTTTGAAGCCTCGTGTTTGTCGTCATATTAGTTTTTAGCCTTAGCCGTCTTGTTTTGTCTCATCGATATATTGGTTTTTGGTCGTCGCCATCTTGTTCTTTTTTTTACAAATTGTATGCCATTTGCGTGTCTGTAGCTTAGCAAAATGTGAAATAAATGTAAATAAATAAAATGTAAATTCTGTACATAATGCTACATATATAACACAAGGGTAAATAAAAAGTGCATTGAACACTTTTTTTAGTGACATACTTATTATTCGTTGGGCTTGGGTGGAAGGTGTCCAGTCTTTTCAAGTCAAGAGGCTAAAGTACAAGTCAGGTCACGAGTCATCGAGTTGCAACTTTTTCTTTTTTTCTTTGTCAAATCAAGTGTAAAATCATCAAATATGTGACCTAAGTCCTTCTGACCTTTAACCCCTCCTGGTCACAGGTCTACAGAGGGGCGTGGAGGGTCAGCAGGGCCACTTCACCCTGGTGTGCCGAGACTCTGCTGGGGAGCAGGCGGAGCGAGGTGGAGAGCACGTCCTGGTCAGCATCGTCCACAAGGAGAAGAAAGACTGGTGAGGGGTCCGAGAGTCCGGCCTGCTGTGTCAGCATTTTAGCTTCTTTAACAGGCCGGATGAATGCATTTCAACGGGAGCACAGTGAGGTTTTGGTCAACGACTAAATCCAGTTTTAGCTTCATGGTTGATCAATTTTTCCCCGTCTGCCTCCCAGCTGCTCAGAGCAGGTCAACAGAGCACTGCACACCTGTGCTCTGTGCTATTTATGTCCCTCATGTTGGAAGAGACCCTTTAAAGACCTCCACAAAATCACTCTAACTTTTGTTTCTGAATATTCATTGCATTTTCTCATCCTCCACATTATCCATATCCAAGTATTTGTAATAATAACAGTCACAAATAAACAAACAAAAAGAGAACCTGAGAGAAAATGGAGTCTGGTAGCTTTGAGGAGTGAATATAATATAATCTATAATATAACGAACCAGAGTTGGTGATTGTTGGAACAGTGGAACGACTAATAAAGACGGTTTTGATGAGTTTTGTTTAGTTTCTGTCCAGTTTTAATGTGTGTTTCAATGATCAGCGAGGTTGAGTTACTGTTGTCTGACTGCAGTCTGGCGGCTTTGAGGAGAGACAAATCCCTGTTTGTTTTATTTATCATTCATTACCAGATACCCAGGAACCTAAACATGTTGTATTGATCGTACTGATAGTAGAACCTTCTTCCATTTGGGATCCGTCTCCGGTGGTTTCTTTTCCTTCCCTTCAGCTCGTTGGAGACGACGGTGGCCGATAACAACGATGGATCCTACAGAGCTTCATACACGGCTGAAGAGACGGGAGCTTACTCAGTGTGGGTCTGTGTCAGAGCGCAACATGTCAAGGTACCAAACTAATAGAAGAACGCAGGGAATGCATGCAGAGGAAACCTTGTTTTCATGTTTTTATTAGTTATTTATAGTTAAATGAAGTACGTGTTGCAGCTGAAGACGGCATGTTAGAGCAGGTAAAGGTGACGTTGGGCTGAGTCGTGGTGTTCATGGCCTCAGGGCAGGCAGACAGACAGACAGACAGCTGACTGAGCGTCTCTGTCCCGTCTCGTCCTGCAGGGTTCTCCGTTTCTTCTGCATGTGAAGAGGAAGTCGAGGCGTCACGGCGGGACGTTTCACTGCTGCTCGTTCTGCTCCAGCGGAGGAGCCAAAGAGGCTCGCTGTGGCTGCACAGGAACCATGCCAGGTACACAGAGGAGGACTTCAGAGTGTCCCAGTGAACAGAAACAAACATAGTCCACGTTGTTCTTTAAAGAGGACAGATGAAGGATCAATCATCTGTGTTCTTTGATTGGAACGCCTTCTCTTTTTGAGAGACAGGTTTTGTTATAAAGCAATAATCTGAGATGCTCAAGATGCAACAACAGCTAAAAACAACGGCCTCACATTTTTCAGTCTGTTTTTATGAATCACTCAGCCACGAGATCTGCTACATTTTGAGAAAAGAGGCACAATTTTCTCTTCTGTCATTATCACAAACATCATTTCCTTCTCCACCCAAACCCGACACGTCCACAAAGAGACGGATGAGTGGGGGGGGGGCGGTTGGAAATAGCTAAATAAATTACAGTTCTTCTTAAGGGTGCGATTATTCCACCGTAATAGTCATCCTGTTCACACCTGCACTGATGTTGCTGCACATGAAGTCATATATAGCTTTGTTATTATTTATATATATATATATGTATATATATATATAAGTGGAAATACTGAAGTAAAGTACTTCAGTAAAAATACTTTGTTACATTTAACCACTGCTACTTTGTGACTGCTATGAAACCAGACACTCAACTTTGAATGATAAAACTTTAATCTCATCAAAACTCTCCTACCTTGGAGTTGTTGTTGATCTTATCTCATGTCTGCCTGCCTGTCCGTCCGTCCGTCTGTCTGTCTGTCCGTCTTTCCGCCCGTCTGTCCGTCCGTCCGTCCGCCCGTCTGTCTGTCTCCAGGAGGATTCAAAGGCTGCGGTCACGGTCATAAAGGACACCCCGGGAAGCCGCACTGGTCTTGTTGCGGCAGCACGGCGGAGCAGTCCGAGTGTTTGCCTCAGAGCGTGTTGGCTGCAGTTTCTCCCCGCGGACACCTCCGGACCGTTGAGCTCTGAGGAGACGAGGGGACGAGGAGACGAGGGGACGAGACCTGTCCAGGTGATGCGAGTTCATAAAGGAGGATGGCAGCAGCCAAAAGGTGACTTTTGTGTCTAAGCTCGGCCAACTGATGACGAGATAGAGAAAAAGACAATGAAATGCAATCACAGCAGCTTGTGTCTCCTCCTGAATCACATTAAACAAGGTTTAACCAGCATTATCTTTATTAGTTCTCAACAAAGAAAGATCTGTGAGACGTAGATGAAACCTCGCTGAGGGCAGATCATCCTCTTCTAGAAGAGATGAATCTCTTTCTTAATATCGTCTCCTCTAAAGCTGATTTTTAACCCTTGAAGCTGCTGTCGATTTCAAAAAGGTGCTGAACTCAGTGTTTTATATCAAATAATGTAAAACTCATTTAAATAGAAACATTTAGAATCACCAAACTGTGGTACTTTTGTATTTTTATATCTTTCAGTCAAGGAAAATATCTTTTGTAATGTAGTGCCTAAAAACCAATAATGCTGAAATATATAAACAGTTATTGTTAATAATCCACACTGACCACTGTTATAAAGAAGGGATGTGCATTGACATTATCATTAATCATATATACATATCTTAATACATTTACTTCATCATTTTGTGTGTGTTTGTACACACTTAAATACTGTTACCTGTACTATTATTGTAAGAACTTAAGTTTTTGTAACAATAATACTCTGAATCCACTCTGCCTGTAAACTCTTTATAATACAAACCACTGCTCAGAGCTTTTGCCCCGTGTGCATACAGAGCTCACATATCAATCAGGAGCACTGATTCATGTTGCTAATGAGGAGAAGGTGCTGTAGAGGAGCGCAGAGCGCTGCCTTTACTTGAGCTGGTGAGGAGGCTTCTACCTGGAAGGTGCAGTCAGCCTCCTCTTTGAATACAAAGCTGCTCCTCTCCACTGAAAACACAATGAGCCACCGAATGGGTATTTTCTGTGTTCTGAATAACACTCGTCTTCAGTGTCATGTCTACACTGCTGATGAAAGGTAAAATAGACGGATGCAAATACTCGAGGAGGACTTCTCTTTTTGATTTGAGGTCCGACATCGATCCAAGATTAAAGAGTCGATATGCTGCTGCTGCTGTTCACGTACATTCATCTTAGTGGTGCTTTGGTCTGCTTCACTACTTTCTACTGAGACGTTTAAGGCTGTACAATCAAAATAAACACACTTTATACACACATTACCTTGCCTCTTGTCTTTATGGAACTGTACTAAAGGAACGCTTCACCCAACAAAAGGACTATTTGCATATCGATATCTCACCCTGTCACCTTGAACTTTTGTTTTTCTCTCATGCCCCCACGGTGAACAACGAATTAAAAAACAAAGACATGTCTTAATGAATGGAGGTAGACGAAAGCTGCGTTTAATAACGGCAAACTATATCAAAACATCTGTTCACAAGCTTTCATACAACTTAATCCAAGTCTGTGAGGTTGTGAGCGTACGGCTGGATAAATGAGGCTCGGATCATTCTGCACGAGTTGTGTGAGAGTTTGTAAAAAGATGTTTTTGGCAAAGTTTTGTTTTTTTAAAGTAATTCATTGTTACTTTTCTCAGTTTTTTTTATCTTCTTTCAACGTGAAAGCATGAGAAGTTATTGATATGCAAATAGATAGTTTGTTAGGTTTTCTTTTAACAGTGAGATAATCCAGAAGTAGCCATCTCTTGATAACAACAACATGAGAACAACATGTAAATATAGAAAGTTTAATTTAATCATGTAACTCATTCAGTGATTTGCAGAAAACATGACAGAAAGCTTGTTACAGTATGTTGAGCGTGACATTCCGTCTATAAACCACCGGGTGGCAGCAGAGAGCTACTCTTTATTTTTATATATTCAACCATCATGTCCCTCTCTGCCTGTGAACTTCTCCGCGCTTGTTCCTACAAATCATTCATAATCAGCGTTCTCAATAAGCCGTCGTTCTCACAGCGAACAGCCTCGTGATGAATTCTGCATCATCATGAAAAAAACCCGTCTTAAGCGGCTCAAGATTGACTCTCTCAGTATGAATGTTTGATGAATGGGGACCTGTTCCACTAAAACAAACCATCGCAGAGGAAGTTACATCATCAGCGGTGGCACTGCTTCATCACACACACACACACACTTCAGTTACATGAGGGCAGACGGGGGTTAAAGATGGAGTGGTTTAAAACATGCCTTTAGTATTGATTTCTCCCTCCCTTCTATCAGTGAAGTCAATCCAGTAGGAACTAAGCCTGCTACACACACACACACACCAAATTGAACAATGACAGTGTGCACTACAAATGGCAGGATGCTCACAGCGGTGGCGGTGAACCACAGAGAGAAGGACTGACGCCAGACCTCATAAACCTGCTTCACCCACTGAGCTCTCCACTGGAGAGCCAACGATAGTGACACAACATTATCTCACAGGCATCTTTGGTTTGGTTTGATCTTTTACATTTGCTGCCTTTGATGTTATTGTTTTTGCCTGAGTTATAGAAAGTTATGCAAACAGGCAACCAAAAGGAAATGACATTTTATCAGTATAAAAGGATCTTAATCAGGTGCGTCTGCAATAACCTGAAATGTTTGATTGAATGAACACAACCCACCACAATTAGCTAAAACTATCAGATGTGTTGCAGCAACTCGAATGGCAATTTTGTCGCTTAAAATTTGTTTAGAAACACATTTTGTCTGACTGCTGAGGTGAAGTAACTGAAAGTTTACCGGCATATTTCCCGTTTCCAGTTCGGGGACAGGAAATACTTTGTGCGCACGGGGCATAACCGCGACTTTACTTTAGTCTATTTTTAAGTGTGCAAAAGTACGGAACAACTGTTAAAAATGACTGGTATTTATCAAAGTCAAGGAAGGATCCTTCAACGTCCAAATCGAATCCCGAAGGAAGGATTGTTCCAAATGTCCAGGATCCTTTGAAGTCTACCAAGGACTGAGTCCTTCGTTCATGGGATTTTGTAGGATGCCTGTTTGTATCACCCACCTTCCTAAAACACCCACAATCCCATGCACACGATGCATCTCCTGTCCCTCGAGTGGCAAACAGGGGAAATATGCTGATACATTTTCATGTATTGTTATTTCACCTCAACAGTCCTCCAAAATCTGTTTCTGGACACATTTTAGGCGTGAAATTGCCATTCTAGTTGGTGAAACTTCACTCATATCTATAAGTTTGTTACGACTTTTGTTTGCGCAGCGAGCGGTCTGATATTTGAAACATCACTGGCCATCACTACTACCAATGTAATCCCATAATCCCTACATTTTTACACAGAGTTTGGATTTTTGTGGGCCAATTTATAAAACAATTAATTTACGATTAAAGGAACTGAGGTGTGACACGTCTTCGCTTCTCGTCCATCCTGTGTGTTTTGCTCTATGTTTGTTGACAAAAAAAGGTCCAGGTGTACCTTTAACTTGTTGATGACGGCACTGATTGCAGATTGTCAGCTGGTGAATGTTTATCTAACGCTGTAGCTGATACTTAAATAACGTTACCTGAAAAAAAGACCAAAAGTGGTTGAAATGTTAGTAAGAAAACAAACTCATCGTCTCATTCTAAAATCTAAAATATGGCCTCACTTTCGAACTGGGACAAAGACACGATGCATGTGAAGATAATCACAGAATGATGACAGAGATGCAGGGATAACGGCATCATGTCACCTCAAAGCCAGTGTTGTGGCAGCGCCTGACATCCTTCTGTGGAAGACACTTTATCTCTGAGCTGCAAGAG